AGATGCTGGACAAAGAAGGAGCCCCCCTTCCCCCCCCCCCCCCCCCCCCCCCCCCCCCCCCCCCCCCGCCCAACACCATCGCGGCGCCTTCAGTAGGACAGAGAGGCAACATGTCCTGAAATGGATGTGCCGGGAGTCCAGCACATACTGGGAAACCCCTATAAATGAAGAGGGCAGGCACTGCGCAGGGAAGGGGGTGGGCTGGTGCAGGGGACACGGGGCCCCAGGCTCAGACACTCTTCCCACCGGCCCAGGCTGCCCCCCAGGAAAACCAGAAACAAAGAATCCCTATCCGTGGCAGCTGCAGAAGTGACCAACGTGTCCCTGGGAAGGACAGCACACAAAGCCCTTGGGGCCGTCTCGGGCTTTGGGACATTCAGGGGCCAGCGCCCCCTGCTCAAGGGCCTCGCAGGGTGTGGAGGGGAAAGGCAGGTGACGCTCCAGCTGGCTCCCCCCGCCACACGCACACCCCTTTGGGGAGCCCTCCGTTCAGGCCGACAGCCCAGCCCCTTCCGGCTCAGGATCAGAAATAGCTGTGACAAAAGTCCCTCCCCTCCCCGAAAGCGGCTTTTTAAAAAATGCTTAAAGGCAGACACGCAAAAAGGAGATGAAAACTCTGCCAAGCCCCGACCTCTGGTGGATGATGGCATCACCTCGGAGCGGTGGGTCAGCCCCTCTGTGCCTCAGTTTCCCCATCTCAGCTGAATCGGTGATTCCTTCCTTCCTTTCTTTTTTTTTTATTTCCTTAACAGCAAAACCCTGTTTTCCAATTGAATCCTCAGCATATTGATCTGAGAGTCATGGAAATGGAGCTGCTGTGGCTGCCATGGCTGAACCCCAGATGCTCAGCCTCCCACTGTCCCAGAATCACCTCAAGGCACCCCTGCTCTGGACCCCAGGCTCCAAAGGGCCTCCTTGAAAACCACCAGGCTAAATGGTCCTCCCTGGCTCTCAAACGAAGCTCCAACCCACCCAGGTACCCGGGAAAAACAAACTGAGCAGTTCGTGCTGACTCGAGTCAGGGGCACCCACAGGGGGAGGGAGGGAACAAAACCACAGGGATCCACCCCCTCCGGGCCCCACCTATCATCCTGGCAGGCAGAGAGGGCAGCCCCCACCCAGGCCCCTTCAAGTCACAGACCCGAAGTGTAGAGAGAGCTGGGAGGGGTCCCCTCCATGAACCCCCAGTGTAAAGGTGCAGGACCTGAGGCTCAGAGAGAGCAGCAACTAGCCCGTCCCACAGCGCCTGGTGGCAGAGCCGGACCCGGAGTCTGGGCCTGAGAACTCGCCACCCTTTAAAGAGGGATCCCGGAGGGATCTCCCAGGGAAAAGCCCCCGGCTTGCAGACTCAGAACAGGATATCTTGGTGGCACTGGGTGGTGACAGAGAAGAGATGTTTGTTTTGGTTTCCACATCGATGCTTGACAACCTGGTCTGTCGGTACTATAGTTTCTGCAACCACATTCCCCACCCACCCACCCACCCACCCACCCAGTGAGGAGCTCAGAGCTGACTGGGCCAAGGCAGAGCCAAGGCCATCGTGAGCAGAGCCGGGGCCGGGGGGCCCCAGGCCAAGGGCTCTGGTTCAGGTGGGTGTTTCCACTGATGGCACCTGTGCTGACTGAGGTGAGGTGGTCAACAGGTGACTTTCTCCTTTTACATGTTCACATGTTCTTGACTACCCAGGTGAATGGATAAACCCAATGTGATCTATCCACACAGGGGAACATTATTCAGCAACATAAAGGAACATATCACTGATATATGCTACATGGCCGGACCTCAAAAACATTACCCGAGTGAAAGAAACCAGGCGCAAAGGACGGCACCTCGCATGATTCCATTCACATGAAATGTCCAGAGAAGGCAAATCTAGAGAAACAGAAAGCAGGTCGGAGGTAGCCCGGGCTGGGGCTGGAGGTTAACTGCAAATGGGCAGGAAGGATCTAATCGGGGTGATGCAAGCGTTCTGAAACTGGATTGTGGTGATGGTTGCACAACTCCGTGGATTTATTAAAAACCATTGAATTTCATGCTTGATATGGGAGCACTGTATGACTTGAACATTATGCCTCCATAAAGCTGTTTAACATATCTTACATAAAAAATAGCGCCTGGATCTGGCCACGAGTCATGGAGATGGAACCCGAAACATTTCCACATTGGAGAGCCCTGAACTCAAGTGGGGCCCCCAAGCTGTGAGTCCCTCCAGCGGGATCAGAGGAGCCTGGAACCTCTCCTGGCACCGCCTCCTGCCCCTGCGCGCAGTGTGGGGCTCCACGCTAGACACCCCAGCGGCCCCGGCAAACACCTTGGTCTCACACTCAGACTCTGACTCCTCTTACAGACAGGAAATCAGGAGCGGGCTGGGAGCGCCAACTCAGAATTACATATTGTCAAGGCTGGGGAGACCCTTTGAGATCTTCTAACCCAGCGGTTTTTGAAAAGTTGATCACATCCTCGCAAAAGAAAATTCTTCTGAGCAACCTGACTATAGAAACAGATAAAAGCAGAATGGGACTTGTGTACATTTGTAGCGCAGGACCCAACATATAACAGCTCCCGATTCTGAATTCAATCCCCGAGATTGCTGGGGCAGTTTTGATCTGTTAATATTTAGAATTGGGATCGTGGATGACAGTTCCACATTCCATCTAATTTTATCTCCAGTTTTGGCTGCAGAGCGTCAAGAAGATCCTGACACACAGATTAGTGGCTACAAATGGAAATAGTTTTTAGCCCTTTGCTTTGTAATCTCAAAATACTCTCCGGACAGAGATGGCAGAAGGGAAAGTTTCACTTGAGTCCGACTACTAACAAGTTAGCACGGAAGTGAGCTTCAATGAGTTAACATTAAGAACTTAAAAGGGAGTGAGCACATTGTTACAACCATTGTAACATCTTAATATTCTTTAGATATTGATTTTTATTTAATTTTCAAGGAAATCCCTAAGGCATCTCTGAGGAAGCCTGGGGCTTACAGTTAGGGAAACTGAGGCCCAAGCAAGGACGTATACTTGCTTTGGAAAAATCCAAAGTGAGCCCTGAATCAACTTCAGAAAAAAGAAAAATGAAGGAGGAGGAGGAGGAGGAGGAGGAAGAGGAAGAGAAGGTGCACACACATCCCAGAGGGCTGGAGGAGAGACACCTCACTCCACCTGTCTCCACAGCACCCATCTCATTCCAGGCCAGCACCACAGGCTGACATCACAGCCCACACCCCGAGTACAACTTAAACAGAGCATTGCTCAATGCCAACCTACCTCCCCTTAACATTGAGCATGGTTTTCTCATCTCCTTAGTAGCCAACTCCAAGAAGCGCGCGCGCGCGCACACACACACACACACACACAGGTAACACAAGCCTGGGGCATGACGACACACTCCACAGTGGCAGACAGAAGGGCCCATCCCTCCGCATTTCACCATCAAGACCAAGTGCCTGTTTGACTGCCCCACCCTCCCCCACGAAGCTGCCCACAGGGAGTGGAGAGGTGCCCCCCCCCCCCTCGGCCATTCTCAAGCTCTCACGAGAGACAACCAGCCCAGCAGAGTAGCTAGTGCACAGTGGGGTTAAGACTTACCCCAGAAAGCCAGGCCCTGCCTGAGAGAGCCCTGAGACTCCAGGCACCTGTGTCCCGCCAGCTTGACAGAGAGACCACCATCTTTAATGACATCAACTTGATTATTCTTTACCTTCCAAAAAGCATCGCCACCCTACTCTCCCCTCATGCAACTGTGAGTGAATTTCATGGTTGCATTTCTCTGACGAGCAAGCAGGCTTCCAAGTGGTTCAATAATCTCAGGTGATGGCGCTGATATTTGAAGCCTCCCCAGTAGAGGAAAAGGAGGAGACCCAGGCCCAGCTCCCTGGACAGACCTCTGTGCTCATGTGACTCAAGGACTCAGGGAGTGGAAAGCAAGATCCTCTCAGCACATCCTCCAAATCCAGGAGTTTAGGGCCAAGTTCTCAATTCAGACTTGCCCGGATTGGGACGCCCCCACCCAGGCCTGAGATCTACAGACAGACCCCTCTCCCCTCCTCTCCTCTGAAAGTGAAGCCCACAGCTCTCTCAGCCAGGCTGTAGGCAGGAAACAATGTTCGTTTCCCACCCGGGGGATCTGGGCTTGGGTAGAAGTGTGCTGGCCAGTCCTGTAGGTAGTCTCCCTGACACCCTACTCAGAGAGGGTGGTCTTGGCCCATTCAACGTCCAGTCTTCCAGCCCAAGGTTACCTCCTTCTGTGGGCCATCAGGGCTGAGTGTGTTGAGGCCCAATAAACCATGACAATAGGATGGCAGGGGAGAGGAGTGGAGGGAGGTGTTTTTAAAAGCGTGTGGCCTATCTAATGTAGGTCTGGTGACCCAGCCCGGCCAGCTGGATCCTACGGAGCTGGAGCAAGAAGGAAGACCCTAGCCCCAGTGAGTAGACAAGAGATGCATGCGTTTTCAAACACACGATCTCATTGAATTCAAGGAACAAAAGGTCAATGGGTTACTTCAGAGTTTTTTCTTTTCAGCCGGGGAAGGTGGGCAGCCCCTCTCCATATGCTTGGGAAAGTACGGAGGCCGATAGACAGACTGGACAGGAGTCCTTAAAATCACTAGTTCAAATCCTGGGGTCACCACTGATTAGACAAGGCCCCTTAGGCAAGCCACTTACATTTCGGTGCCTTAATTTCCTCATCTATACAATGGTGATAATGCTCTACACTCCGTGTGGCTATGAGAATTAAATGAGATTACTTAAAACACCCAATGGCTATTTTGTCACCTACAGAGAACCACGCGCCTGGTCCAACAAAGGTTCCGAGGTGCCCCCTGCTGTGGTCAGCGCCGCCCCCCATTCCTGGAACTAGAGATAACTGAGTTTGCCTAGAGCACGTAGGGGCCTCTGCAAACAGTGTGCAGCCCACCTGCCAGGACCAGCTGGCTGCCCGGCCCCTCCCGAACCCGCACACATTCCGCGGCCCCCGGGAGCGACGAGGGAGGGCGCACTCACCTCCGCTTGTACTCGTCGCGCTCGCGCTTCACCTTGGCCAGCACGTTGTAGAGCGCGCGGATCTCGGGCGTGATGGTGTCGATCTGCACGCCCACGCCGTCGGGGTGCACCCACGACACGCCGGGGCCCTGCACCGTCTCCACGCCGCCGCCACCCGTGCGCCGCACCTGCGTGTAGCTCCAGATGGTGCCCGGCAAGCGGCCGTAGAGCTGCGGGTGCGAGCCGCCGCCGGGGGGCAGGCCGCCCAGGGCCACGGCGTTGGCATTGGTGCCGGCCGCCACGCTGCCGCCGCTGCCGGGCGCGGGGGGCCGCAGCAGGTCCGGCCCGGTCTGCACGGCCTGCTCGCGGGTGAACGTCTTGTAGCGCAGCCGCCGCTCGCGCTCGCTCTGCTGCTGCTCCAGCTGCTTCTCCAGCAGCCGGTTGCGCCTCTCCAACTCGTGCACCTTGGCCAGAAAGCAGCGGAAGCGCACGTTGAGCCCCTTCAAGAGGTGGATGTTCGAGCCCAGGTCGTCCCGCAGCGCCGCCGTCACCGGCGATGGCCCCGGCCCGGGCCCGCCGCCGCCCCCGCCGGGGCAGCTCCCGCCGCCGCCGCCCGGCGGACAGCCGAAGGCCAAAGCCATCTCCCCGAACAGCAGCGAGTTCACCATGCGCCGGCTGCGCAGCTCGGGGCCCCGGGCCCGCGGGTCCAGAGGAGGCTCCAGCTCCGGGCAAGGCTCCCGGCGCGGCCGGGCCAGATTGGGCGCGGGCTCCAGCGCGGCCGGCCGGGCGGGCAGTTCCAGATGAGCTCCAGATGCGGCCTCCGCAGCGACAGAGAGCCGGGCCGCCCCCGGATGTGGGCGCGGAGGCGAGGAACGGGACTCGGGCTGCGACGGAGGCCGCGGCGGCTGCGCGATGGAGCGAGGGCTGCGGATACCGGCGCGGGAGCTGTCACGGACGAAGTGAGTCGCCGGGCGGCAGCGCGCAGAGGACTCTTAGCCGGCACTGCCCCTCGCTCTGCGGCGGGCCCCGCCCACTGCAGACACAGGCCCCGCCCCTCAATTGCCCCGCCCACTAGCCTCCTGCGGCGCTGCTCCTGTCTGAGGCGGGGCCTGGAGACCGGCAACGCTGGGCCACGCCCACCATATCGGCCCCGCCCAGTCCCGGGCTCCGCCCCTCCCTCAGCGCCAATGACCGGCTGTCTGCAGCTCTGGCTCCGCCCATGTCCCCTGGACCACGCCTCCCCGGCCGGGTCCTGCCGCCACCCGCGGCTCGGATGCTTTGCGAGGAGACACGGCCCGCCGAGCTGCATCAGGCTTGCGGTGAGCTGAAGCCGCCGCAGAGCTGGCCCGGCCCCTTAAAGGGACAAGCAGCTTCGGCAGTGCTCGTTTCCCGCTTTAGGTAGCCCTCTCTCCCCCACGTCCTCTGCCAAGGAGACTCCGCTTCTCTCGCACCCCAATTCCCAGGACCCAAATTCTCACGGGGAACGGAAAACCTCGGCCTGGGAGGGCTGGGGAACCATAGCGTCCTTAGGTGCATCTGCACCCCACCTCCACTCCAGCCTGGGCATCCTAGATCGACCTTCCCAGGATATGGTCTCTCTTGTGCCTGCACGTTCCCCACGCGGTGGACCCAGGCGGGCTCCTCCCTCCACCCCTTGCCCCCAGGTTCCTCCTGGGCACTGCAGAGCCCTCTAGTCCCCCTAGAGGGCCACGCCCATTAAGGGGATACGGAGGAGGGGGGAAGGCAGTCCCAGTGAAGACCATTCGGGAATATGACACTCTTGCTCCGCCTAGGCTGCTGTTGCTCCGCCCGGATTGACCACCTCCACACCACTGCCCACTCACAGGCTGACATGTAGCTGACCCCAGAGCAGGAGGTCCATTTCATTGAGCCACTTAGGGGGCAAGGAAGCGGAGGAACCCATCTGGAGGGCGGAGCCAACCTAAGGACGCGTTCATTCATTCCTTCATTCATTCAATCTGTTTTCATACCTACCACCCTAAAGACCAAGTTCTCCAATCTGGTGTTCGCTGGAATCAATTGGCAAATATCTATCATTTTTTAATGGTAATAATAGCTCTCATTATTGTTTGTTTAGTATATGTCAGGCGCTATACTTAGCTATTGTCTTCATTTTACGGAGATCATTGAGACTAGAGAAGCAGCAGCAAGCAGTCCCAAAGCGATTACTCCGTCCTTCCCACTCCACTGGCCTCGTGTCCACTTCCCCATCTGATCCTCACCACAAACCTCGGCGAGGCGGTGACTCCCACCTTTGAATGCCTGTGGTTGTGCTGCGTGCGCTTAGCAAGATATGTTCCAGATTCTTCTGGACACATTTTTTAATTGAAATTTAATATTTGTCTTGTTATTAAATGTTGTGTTTGTTTTGTCTCATTGTATATAAGCTTGAGGGCGGGTACCCTGTTTTACAGGGACAATGGCTTGGTGTTCCCAGCCACAAAAGAGACACAAAGGTGACACAAAGGCTTGCTCTAGGGTGAGGTCGAGGCTGTGATGTTTGCTGTTTTGGATTCACTCCTAAGAACAAACCCTCCACATGTTTCGTTCCTCCCCTCTAGCCTCTTGATTTGAAACTGCCCTGCCGGGAAACCGTTCTGTTTACCCCAGCCCAGTGTGGGCACTGCTCTCTACCCTTTGTTCCCTCAGCTCTGGGTGCTTTTCTTGTTTACTTAACCTAGAGAGTCAAAACCCCTTTGCCTGAAAGCAGGAGTTCATGGACATCCCCGAGGGAGCTGAGGATCAAATTCTGAAGGGTTCGTGATCTTGGGATGGACAAGAGTTTGTATCTCCACTTTTCACCAATCTCTAAATGACACTTAGCATTTGCTTTGGTCATGAATGCAGCCAACAGGTAAAAGTCCCTGTGATTTTGCCACTAATAAAAATCACACATATTTTCACATCACACTTCAGTTACTGTAGACATCTCAAAAGATAGTTTAAGCTACCACAACTTGGCAATGAAGGTCATATCAGACTCACCACTAAATCTTTCTTTTTAAAAAAAATATATTTTATTGATTTTTTACAGAGAGGAAGGGAGAGAGATAGAGAGCTAGAAACGTCAATGAGAGAGAAACATCGACCAGCTGCCTCCTGCACATCCCCTATTGGGGATGTGCCCGCAACCAACGTACATGCCCCTGACCAGAATCGAACCTGGGACCTTTCAGTCTGCAGACCGACGCTCTACCACTGAGCCAAACCAGTTTCGGCTAAATCTTTCTTAATGGATTAATAAAGAAGCACATGTTATTATATCCCAAAAGTTTTTAAATACTTTATAATTGTATTTTAGTAAAAATTGTTTTTATTGTGATCTGAATGCAATTTTTAAAAATTATTTGGAGGCTCTAGCCAGTTTGGCTCAGTGGATAGAACTTTGGCCTGCAAACTGAAGGGACCCAGGTTTGATTCCCATCAAGGGCACATGCCTGGGTTGTGTGCTCAATCCCCAGTAGGGAGCAAGATGAGAGATTCTCTCTCATTATTGATGCTTCTATCTCTTCCTCTCCCTTCCTCTCTGAAATCAATTTTAAAAATATTTATTTTTAAAAGTTATTCTAGGACTTTTGTTGCATGCATATAAGCATAACCAATGGACACAAGACACTGGGGAGGGGAGGAGCGCATGTGCCAGGGGATAGGGGAGGCCTGGGGCAGGTCAAGGGGGAAAAGAGGGAGACATATGTACTACTATTTATAATACCTTAAGTAATAAAATAAAAGTTTTAAAAATCTATAATTTAACTTCAACTAGAAGAGTCTTTAAAATGAGCCGAGGTACAAAAATATTCATGAATCTCTTCTTTCTGATATGACCTAACATTCAATGAATGTCTCATAATGTGACGAGTATTTTTTATACATTTTCCCATATTATTTCATAATAGCATTGTGAGATGGATGTCATTGTTTCCAGTTCAAGTTTGAAAAAAAATAAGAGCTTGAGTCCATTGCCCAAGATCACACTGGAAATAAGAAGCGAGGGTGAGATATTTATTTTGTTTGCCTAAAATGCATCACATTTCCCCCCACATAGGACAACCCACCAAACTGGTATCAAAACAGAAAACAAAATAAATAAAAATAAAAAAAGTTATCCTGAGAAGGTGTCCAGAGTCTACACAGGATGCCCAAGGGGCCTGCAGGGCAGAGGGGTTAAGAAGCCATACCTGCCGAAACCAGTTTGGCTCAATGGATAGAGCGTCGGCTTGGGGACTGAAAGGTCCTGAGTTCGATTCTGGTCAAGGGCATGTACCTTGGTTGCGGGCATATCCCCAGTAGGGGGTGTGCAAGAGGCAGCTGATCAATGACTCTCTCTCATCAATGTTTCTAACTATCTCTCTCCCTTCCTGTCTGTACAAAATCAATAAAATATATTAAAAAAAAAAAAAAAAAAGGAAGCCATACCTGGGGATGGTTCCCTGCAGCCTTTTCCACGAAAAGTCTGATCTGCCATCAGAAGGGTCCTGGGGTTGGGGTGTGAAACCCTGGGGTGGGGGGTGGGGAGGGAGGACAGTGAATACCCAGCTCTGTCCTGGGCACTGAAGAGACTCAGAAATTCCATAATCCTTTATTGAGCACAGGCCCTGCCCCAATGCTGGGAATCAATTGTGAGCAAAGCAAGAATTTAAGGAGCTCTGGGGCCAGATTGGAGCACCTGAGATATGGGAGGGGGTTCAGGGAGGGACACCCGACCTGGAAGAGATGGCTGAGCAGAAGCAGGAGGTCTGAAGGAAATGCAGGACGTCGAACCCAGGCTAGAAGGGACTTCTACCTGAATTGTAGGAACAGGATATGTACAAACCAAATGGCTAGAAAATCGTTCTGTGGCCTCACAGGTGCAAAAGTGAGAGGCTGTGATTCTTGAACTTTGTTGGTAACATGAGTGGGGAGGTTAACTTTATGCCTCCAGCTACAGTGACCAACTGTCTCCATCTTCCCAAGACCCAGGGGTTTCCTTGACCTTGGACCTTTATTGCTCAAACCCAGAAAATCCCGGACAAACCAGGACCAGCTAGTCATCCTACTCCCACCACATAGCTCTGGGGACCTCTGAGGCCAAAAGTCTGGTCATTAATGTCAGCCCACACAGAGTCAGAGTGCAGCAAACCCAATGTTCTCATTATAGACAGGAGAATTGAGGCCCAGAGAGGGCTAGGGGTTAGCCCCAGGTTGCCCAAATAATTAGTGGCAAAACTTGGTCTACAATTCTGGTTCCATTCCCCATCCAATGCTCAGGGCACTAAAGTCAGTGGTCCGTTCCCCGCAGCCCTGGACACCTTCATGGCCCCCATCCGTCGTCCAAAGAGACGATAGGTGGGTCCTCACCAGGGCTGGGGGTATCCAGCAGACAGGAGGAATGCCAGCCTCCACTCCCTTAGGGGGGCAGCTCCTCTTGGCCCTCAAAACCACGGGGTGTATCAGACACCCTTCCTGGAAGCAAGAAGAGAGACTATTTTCAGAGATGGGCTTTTGAGACAAAGTTGGCCCAAAGTTGTCCCAGCTGTGTGACCGGGCAAGTTACTTCTCATCTCTGAGCCTCAATTTCCCCATCAGTGAAATGGGCATAACTTCATCTGCTAGGCCCTTTTATACCCTCTGTCCCTGTGAGAGCCACCTTGCCAGCCTCATCAAATTGCTGGGTATGCATCAGGCTCTCAATAAACAGTTACTGAGTGAATGAAGGAAGGAAGGATGAATAGATGGATGGATGGATGGATAGATGGATGGATGGATGAATGAATGAGTGGTCAATCAACTTTTATTCTTCCCACCTTACTCTCTCACCATTTCACCTGGTAACTACCCTCCTCCTTCAGGTCTCAGCATCATGCATAAAACATTCTCTGCCCTCCCAGCACCCTCCAGGTCTGGATTGGGATGCATCCCTTGGACTATGCCAGCATTATGCCTACACACAGCATAGCAGACCAGGTACATTCTCTTGTCATCATTGGTGTTTTCATCTCCACCCCACCCCACTCCAACCTCAACCCCCAGTGCTCCCTACACCATGATCTCCATCAGGCAGGGACCTTGAACCAGAACCAAGTCTAGTTCATTGCTGCACTCCTGTGTTCTGGCACATAATAGCTTCTCGACAAAGATGAATTCAGGTAAATAAATGAATGAGGGCTGGAAAAAATCCTGTAAAGTGCTAAATAAATGTTAGACTTTCATATTTTAATTACACCTCTTTGTCTCACAACTTTTTGCGGAATATGTTATATATCATACAATTCACCCATTTCAATGGTTGTTAGTAAGTTTACCAAGTTATGCAACTATCACTATAAATCCGTTTTAGAATATTTCATCTCTCCCAATAAGATCTCTCATGCCCCTTTACCGTTATTCCCTGTTTCCACCCCCGCCCCAGGCACCCACTCATCTATTCTCTATAGATTTTCCTTTTCTGGACATTTAATATAAACAGAATCATGCAATAGGTGCTCTCTTGTGTCTTGATTCTTTCACTGAGCATAATGTTTTTGAGGTTCACCCATGTCATAGCATCAGCAGGTCCTTCCTTTTGATGGACAATCTCTTTTTAAATTTTGATAGTTTGAACTCTTCCTCACCTGGTTTACTTTTCTACACTCCAGTTCCCAACTTGGAAATAAAACTTATAAGAATATATCTAACTTGGAAGTAAAACTAATAAGAATATCCACTTCATAGCATGGTTGTAAGGGTTAAATGAGTTAATACATGTAAAATCAGCATGTAGTAAATGCTCAATAAATAGTAGCTACTCATACCATTTTTTAAAACCTTTTTGCTTATGCAAATATGGGCAGTCCATAAATATATAAAGAGGCAGGGGAAAATAAGGCACCTCCAATGGTCTCACACCCAGTGGTCCTCTCTGGCATCTAAGTTCAGTCGGGGAGAACAAACTGCTCTCTCCACTGTGTCCCCCATCCTCACCCGCAGGCTGCAGTTTCTAGAACATTCCCACCAGGTCTCTTCATGGAGAAATGAAAGAGAGCAGTAAAACATGATGGCACAGAGGAAAGGGAGCGGCTGCAAATCCCACATGATGCCACAGGTGGAAATTAATCCTTTAAGCAACACAGCAGACTCTTGAGGTGTCCCATCTGTCCTCCCTCAAAACAATCTCGATGACGGCGGCGGCCAAGAACAACACCAAAGCTGGCCAAAAGGGCAACTCTGGCTTGCCTCGGCGGCGGTGACACGTTGCTGGGCCTCATCCCTCCTGGGCACCTCCGGGCGTATGAGCGACTTAAGCTGCCTGCTGGCTCGACAATTATGCTGGGCGGGTTTGCCTTCCTTGAAAAGGGCGTAGGTCTCACCGGCATCAGGGCGCCAAAGTGTCCCACTGGCTACCCGACAGCGTTGCTCTTGGTCAACAACAGCCTTGGGAGAGCCTTTCCAGAACCTTCTCCGGGCTTCTGTGGACCTGTCTTGGGAAGGCCAATTGGGCAGCACTGTATAATCTGGCCACCTGGCCACGTGGGTATGAGGAGGGCATCCAGGGCCGGGCTCCATTCAATTACCTGTGTGACTGTGGGCAGGTGCCTTCACTGCCCCGTGCCTCAGTTTCCCCCTCTGTAAAATGGAAGGTAGTATTCACTGGGAGGATTAAACAAGCCCACGTGTCTGAAAAGCTGAGAGCAGTGCCTGGCATGTATTCGGAGCTGGCTATCATGAGCCAACATTTCCCGAACCTCCAGGATGTGCCAGCGCCGTGCTAGGTGGTGGTTTGAGCTCCACGTGAGAGGGAGTCAAGGCCAGGAGTTTCAGAGGCCTAACCAGGGCTGAATTACCCTAGGGGAAGCCACGAGTTTGCGGGGCTTGCTTTCAGGCCTTATTCCCCAATTCCTGTGTGACAAGCGTCTGTTGAACATCTCTTTCACCCGGACCCTGCCCCTAAAACTCCACATGATAAAGGCCCTTCTACAGGTGGGGAAAAGGGATTTCTGGGGGTAAGGTAACCTACCCATAGCCCATTGGAGCTCCGAACCCAACTCTGAACTCCAAGCCCCGTCCCTCCCGCACTGACTGCAGCTCCTTCTCAATAACTCAGAGGGGGACATTCAGACACAGACCTGAGGAGTGAGCTGTTGGCATCCTTTCTGCCCACCCCTCCCCCTGCAGAAACCCTCCATGAGCGGAAAGAGGCATAGAGAGGTGAGGGGCAGGAGCATCTCTAAGGGGCCGGCGCCATTCACACCTGCCTCAGGGCCTTTGCACATGCTGGTTTCACCTCCAGAAGCACTGCTCCCCTCCTCGCTGGCCTGTTTGTACTTATCCTTCAGATCTGAGCTTCAGTCCCCCTCTCCTTTTTCATCTGTTGTCTTGTTTTGACTTTGTAATGAGTTATGTTCAGTAAAGAGCATCAGTGTTACATGTACGGCTCAACCATTTTCCACATACGCACACCCCGGTGTACTCACCCCCGGGCACTGCCCACACACTGGAAGGCTCCCCCTGCTCCCTTCATGGTGCCTCCCGCGGGCAAGCAGGTTCTGGCGCTTCTCACCACGGGTTCCTGGCCAGCCTCCTGTCGGTGGGCTCATACGGGGTGCTTTTGGCTTCATTGGCTCAGTCTGACCTGCAGGGGAGCCGCCGTGCAGCAGCATTTTGCTCTTCTGCTTGGCTGTGTGGTACCACACGGTAGGAAGTTATCACAGTTTATTTACTCAATCTCCTGCGGATGGACGCGGGAGCCGTCTCTGGTTTGGGGCTTAAGATTCTATGAACCTTTTTCTTGTATATCTTCTGGTGACGATAAGTGCTTGCTCCCCTTGAGCACAAATCCAGGGATACAGCTGCCATGTCCTAGACCAGTGGTGGACAAACTCATTAGTCAACAGAGCCCAATATCAACAGGACAACGATTGAAATTTCTTTGGAGAGCCACATTTTTTTAAACTTAAACTTCTTCTAACGCCACTTCTTCAAAACAGAATTGCCCAGGCTGTGGTATTTTGTGGAAGAGCCACACTCAAGGGGCCAAAGAGCTGCATGTGGCTCGTGAGCCGCAGTTTGCCGACCATGTCCTAGGGCACATGTGTCAAACACAAGGCCCGCGGGCCAAATCTGTCCCGCCAGGCCTTGCAATGTGGCCCGCACCACGCTGTCATCACTGCACTCCGCTGCGTTTCCATCACAATGACAGTTTATGACTGTTCAGTAAACCATTCGGCCCGCGATTTAGGCTGGATTTTAGATTTTGGCCCCTTCTCTGATTGAGTTCGACACCCCTATCCTAGGGGATGTACATGTTTAGAATTAGCTGGCCATCACATCTGCACCCCCTTCACCAGTGTCTGGAGTTCTGATTGTCCATGTCCTAGCTAATACTGGGTACAGCTGGTCCTTTCTATTCCAAGCTTTCGGGGTGTGTGTGTGTGTGTGTGTGTGTGAAGAGTAGCACTTCCCCCTAGAAGCCACTCTGCACCCCAGACCAGAGTAGGGGCCTCCTGGCCCTGCCCACTATGGATTGGTTCTCTGAGGCATTTCTACCAGTTCACTGTCTCCCTCCTCTCAGGGGGCCGGGGGGGGGGGGGGGGCCGCGGCGCGGGGCTCCCGAAGGGAGGGAAGGATGCTCTCTTTGACTACAGCGCCCTTGGCAAGGAGAAGCCAGACCCTGCCGCCTGCTCCCAGGCCACCCAGCCTCTTGCAGGGCAGCCTGAAGTCCAGCCCCGAGGAGGCGGGCTCTCTCTTTAAAGTGCCCTAATCACTGTCAAACCCCATGCTCCTTCCTGGGCGCATGAGCCTCAGTTTCCCATGCACAGAATAAGAATGCTACTTCTGCCCCACAGGGCTGTGGAGAGCCAGGTGAAATGCAATCCATGAGTCCTTGGAAGGGTGCTGGGCAGAGGGGCGTGGTGCCTGAGATCACTCCACCGCCTGCAGCCCTGTCTCAGAAGAGAAGACCTCTCCTGCCTCAACCTTCTCATCATCAGAAAGCTTTGGCCGTGTGAAGCGACACGTCCCTCTCCGCCCCAAGTGATGGGCTCCTGACCTCAACACCCAGCAAGCACTGGGAGCCTCCTCGCTGCTCCCCACGCGGCATCCCGCTCCTGCCTGGCCACCCCTGCTCCAGCAGGCATTGCCCTAAGCGTGTCCCTGCATCGTCTCATTCCGTCCCAACCTTGTCCATTTGAGGGGAGGCCTCATTTCCCTTTTCCAGATGGAGAAACTGAGGTTCGAAGGAGCAGCTGAGTGGCGAGGGGAGGCTCTGTACCCCATCCCAGGCCTGGAGATCCTAAGTCTGAAACCTGGAGCCGGGTCCTGTGTGGACACTGCTGTGTCCCCACCAGCCTTAGGGCGGGGAGGGCTGGCCACTGCAGGGGGAGACCAGGAGGTGTGGACTGTTGTCAGGAAGGCCCTGGGAGTTCCAGAAACCACAGGCTAGCAGGGTGGGCAGGGCAGGGGAGTCCTGACCCTGTGGGGTACCCCATGTCTTCCCCAAGGGCTGGCTTTGTGAGCCTGGTGAATCCCCACTCCCCTCCTCTCCCCTCCCCTCCCCTCCCTCCAATGTCTGGTTTGTAAACGGCTTTCTCACGTGATAGAGAAAGCCCTTGGAGGAGAGGAGGGCAGGTTCCCCGTTCCCTGTGGTCCCATTTCTGCTGAAACAGGTGTCCCAGCAACAAGGACATTGCCTGGGAGGCGACTGCTCGGAAAAGGGTGAGTCCAAGGACCGCTCCTTCCAGCGCCATGAAAGGCAGGAATGCACTGAGCTCATCCCAGGCCGGACGACAGGGCCGTCTCCCTAATTGTCCTGAATGCAACTTAAGACGACACGTCACAGAAGCCACTGTGTCAGCCCCGGCGACTTCCCGGACGGCGGTTTCGTAACGCTAGGGCCTGGCCAGCGAGGAGTTTCCTGGGTCCCCAGCCCCCTGAGCCTTCCAGCCCAACTCCAAAGTGACAAAGGAGTCCCTGCGGTGCCCAGCAGCAGGGCACTGACCTCATCGGTCACGGTGCATCTGCGAGCAGTGACACTCAGTGATCCAGAGGCTGACACACGCCCATGTTTATGGCACGGGGAGCCACCCACCTGTTACCATGGACGCGAGAAGCATGTGCATTAATGTCCATTTAAAAAGTGCCCGTCGTATGTCTGTAGGATCGTCTGTGTGCACGCCTGGAAAGATATCTGGAAGGACATCCATGAGGTCAGCAGGGGGTCTTTCCTTTCGTTAAATACCTTCATGTGTTTTCTGAGTAACTGTGATTGTTACAGAGCTCTGTGCCAGGTATCAGGTGAGCCCCTTACCAGCAACATCTCACTTAATCCTCCCATCAAGGCACAGTCAGTAACTTCTTTTCTCATTGCACTTATTACTTTTATAAAGTGAAAAATAGGAAAGCTTTTTCACTTTGGAAATTTCAAAAACAAAACAAAACACCCACATCATTTATCGCATTTGGCTGCATACAGGACACTGGACCAAGAGGGAGATCTGAGACACCCAGGATGCAGTCCTTGACTTCAAGAAGGTCCCAGGCCCAGGTCCCTAAAAAACTAGAATCTGCCGAAACCGGTTTGGCTCAGTGGATAGAGCATCGTTCTGCGGACTGAAGGGTCCCAGGTTCGATTCCGGTCAAGGGCATGTACATTGGTTGTGTACCTCTCCCTTCCTCTCTATACCTCTCCCTTCCTCTCTGTAAAAAAATTAATAAAATATATATTTTTAAAAAAGAACTAGAATCTAGTTTGCCTCTGGTAGGTGGACTGAGGGAAGCACTCCGCAGAGTTATGAGAAGACAGAACAGCAGACTGGCCTGAGGAGCCACAAAACAAATATGTATTGACCAACTACGTACCTCTGCTCTGAGCGCCTTAGCTCATTCGGGCTCACAGCAGCACTTGGGGTGGACATGACTCCCATCATTGTACCCTAAGGGGATCCAGCTCACCAAGGCCCCCAGATTGTCCCAGAGCCACGAAGCTAGGACTAGCAAAGACAGAATTTGGACTTCCATCTCCAAAGCCAATGAATGCTCTCTCTCCCACTCCCAGCCCTCCCACCAGCCCCAGCCTAGTGGTCAGGACCGAGCAGCCTTCTGTTCCAACGTGCCTCTGCCTCGTAGGTAACATTTCAATAGCAGGAGAGGCACACAAAGGCAATTCCCTGTCCAGGCCTCAGTTTCCTCACCGTGGAATTGGAGGTAATATCAGCCTTCTAGGGTCGGTGTGAGGACTGACAGGGAAATCCAACCTATTTCCGGCAGAGACAATAGAGATAATTTTCATGTGTGTACAGCACCTTGAAAACACTCCTGGCCCATGGTGAGCACTTCGCTACACAGAAGCTGTTGGGGATTCTGGTGTCAGGCTGCCTGGGTGTGTGTCTCTTCTCTGCCACTTCCTGTGTGACACTGGGCAAGCTACTTAACTTCTCTATGCCTCACTTTCTTCACCTGTAAAATGGGAGTTATAGAAAAAGTCCCAACCTTCTCCTTTTGTTTTGTTTTTGTTTTTTTGGTGTGGTTTTTTTTTTTTATTAATTTTTTTTACAGAGAGGAAGGGATAGAGATAGAGAGCTAGAAACGTCAATGAGAGAGAAACTTCGACCAGCTGCCTCTTGCACACCCCCCACTGGGGATGTGCCCGCAACCAATGTACATGCCCGTGACCGGAATCGAACCTGGGACCTTTCAGTCCGCATACCGAAGCTCTACCACTGAGCCAAACCAGCTTCGGCAACCTTCTCCTTTTGTAGAAGGCCAATAAGGGAATACATTAGAGGAGTCAGAGCAAGGCCAGCACATAATAGGCATTGAACAAAAGGTCATTATTGTCACTAATCTTGCGTTGTACTGCAGAGACTTCTCAAGTTCTCAGAGCCTGCTCCTTGCCGCTGGGATTTTTAAAGAGCCCGTTGAAATGAAAACGTCCTTGGGAAGGGTAGGAACAGCATCAGTTTCCATCTGCCAACCTCTTGGCTGGCGAAACGATGATGGTGTCACAGGGAGGGAGAAGGATGGAGACTCAGGGGTCAGAGGGGCTTGGATGGAAGGGGACGGACCTCCCAAGACAGCACGGATTAGGAAAATCACCACATACAGAACTCTAAGAGTTAGCGCCTTTCCCAGCCCAATCCTAGCAGCATGAAACCAGGCAGAAAAGAGCAATTATAGCTAACCTGTGGGACAGTGGCTGTGGACTAGGCACTGTGCTCAGATTTATTTGTACAGGCAATCCTT